TATTTAAACCAGGATATCAAAAGTTTAATTTCTATTGAGGTACATGCTAACATCCCCTATCCAGCATCTTCACTCCATAAAGGCAAACTACATGGAAGAAAAATTGTAACAAGAAAGTTACTTTGGGGGCCAGCCCTGTGGCCGAGTGGTTGAGTTCACGTGCTCTGCTTTGGTGGCCCGGGGTTTCACTAGTTCGGATCCTGGGCATGGACATGGCACCGCTCATCAGGCCCTGTGGAGGCAGCGTCCCACATAGCACAACCAGAGGCACTCACAACTAGAATATACAACTATGTACTATGTACTGGAGGGGCTTTGGGGAGAAGAAGGACAAAAAAGAAGAGAGAAGATTGGCAACAGATGTCAGCTCAGGTGCCAATCTTTAAAAAAGAAAGAAAGAAAGAAAGTTACTTCATGTGCATGACCCTAATGCAATAAAAATATAGGATTTCATTGGTAATGATTTAGCCTGTGAAGGTCTGAGGCCTGCGCCTCCGCAATAGAAAGCGATGTGCTGAGAATAGCAGCTTGACCTTTTGGACCAACACATCTTCTCTTCTTCTTTTCATACTAAATTTAGTTTTTCAGTGCTTTCATGGTTGACCAGCATCTCCCCTTTCAGATTTTTCTGCTCTTTTTAAGGGCTATGTTAACACATCCAATCAGAGTCTGTCAAGTATTGCGGGCTTGAGAGCTATCCTCTTGAGGATGATTTTCATACTTCTTCCTATGATCCATTTGTTGTTAGTTTTATAAGTTAACTCCCAGAGGGATTTTCCTTACTTTCAGTATTGGTGGGCTCCTCTATGTTTCGTCCCATGTATAGAGACTCAGGATAGCCTTGTGGTTAAAATTGTAGGCACTGGAGCCAGACTGTAGATTTACAACCTGATTCTGCCACTAACTAGTTGTGTCACTCTTCTCAAGTTACTTATCATCTCTATGCTGTACTTATCTATATTACTACATATTATATATCTATATTACCTATCTATGTCACCATGCAGAAGGTACTTATCATTTCTATGTTTATCTTATGTATACTTTTCATCTGTTTCCACAACTGTAAAATGGGATAATACTATCCACTTCATAGTGTTGTAGTAAAGGATTAATGAGGTACTTATAAAAAGTTCATAGAAGGGTGTTTGGTGCATAGAAAGTAGACAATGAATAATTCATTATTCATTATTATTACATCACTATGGCATCACTCAAATATTACTATTATTCAGAATTTTTGTGAGAAATCTATCAGTCCATTTGAATGATATTAAAACTAACCCTCCACAGCCTTGGGTACTTTCTCAGAACTCACCACTTCAAGGAAGTAAAGAGTAACACCTCCCTTCTAAGAAAAGATCTTTATAACATCATGACACCTCATCCTTTCTTGTCATCTTTCATTCATCCAGTCATTCAACTAATGTCTATTAGGCAGCCTATAATGTGCCTAGACTCCTCTAAGCGCTAAGATATAGCAGCCACCGCAAACTACACTCTAGATTTCAATCCTTTCATGACAATTTTCAGGTTATTATTGTGATAATTAGTACAAGGATATGCCTGATTCTTCAAAGGAAGACTCAAACCATTAGCTTACCAAGCAATATCATGTATAATAAAAGTCGTGTTATTTTTCTAGACTAAGTTCATACTACTTCCTTGATACTGTACTTTAATTTCTACATGACTTCAATATAAATATTTACAAGACCTAGAATATTTTTACTATGTCTTAATGCTCCAGGGATAAATAAGTTGGTTTCCTTAGAAATTGGTCTCTTTGCTTACATATCTTGACAATTACCTAGGTCACTATATGCTTTTCCTATCAGTTCCAAGAGTTACATTTCAGGAAACTGGAAGTATAGTATTGGAGTTTATCATGTTTATAGCTTTCTGTTCTCCCAGGAAAGAACAAGAAATCCATTTTGTTGACCTTCAAGACATGGTGCTCTGCCATGCTGAAAAACAAAGTGTTTATAAAACAAGAGCTAAATTTAGATTTAAGAGACATGAGTTTCCAGTCATAAGGGAGTAACAGGGTTTTGAATTAACCTCCTGCCATAAGCAACTAGAACACTGGACAAACTGTAGGAAATAACTATTTTTATACTTTCAACAACTGACAACACAGCACTGTGATCTCTGAGAGAAAGGAAACAGAAGAAATGAGACCTACAGTTACCCAAGTTTTCTGCCTAGAGAGAATTTCTAGACTGTAGCGCAGTGAGGGGAATTTTAGACAGAGATTGAGGCCTTCCTGAATGAAGAGGCAGCTAGAATTCGCAGGGATTTGCAGGTGGGAGTTATGCAGCAAAAAGATTCCAAAAATGTGCAGAGAAGTCTTCATGAATCTTTAGTTTAAGACTCACCTTTGTATGCATAGACGGAAACCCAAGAGGCAAGGCAAGAACAAGTTCTGAGGGAAGAACAATTTCCAGGGAGTGGAATAATTTCTAGAGTTCACTCAGGGCCAGGACTTGTTGAAGTTCCCGCTAGCCAGAGTAGAGAAGCTTCCTTGTATACTCAGAACATTCAATAGAGGTCATCTAGAGATCAAACCTTAGATTTTAAACAAAACTAGCCCTAGGAAAAAAGGCTACTCTAACCTACCCTAAAAGAACTTGAAAACAAGCCTCAAAAAGATAAAATTTATTCACAAGCGATCATATTACCTGGCAGAATAAAGTCCAGTGCTCTTTATTGGAATACAACAAAATCCAGTATTCAACCACATAAAAGCCACCATTGATTAGATTTAGTTTAACTTTCAAATTATTTCAGGAGGTAATTATGGAGTCATTAGTGCCTTTTCCAAATACCTGTACTCTTCCCTCATACACCTTAAGTATATACTTCCAACTGCACCTTAAAATTAGTTTCCACTGGACTCTTTCTTAATACCCCAGCAACTGGTGATGATGCTCTAGATTGTGACTGCTATGCCCACTGAGAACTTCAATGAGAACACAGAGCAGAGGCTGGAGTCAATCCTCATTGGACATGCTGCAGGAGTAAGAAATAACATTTTTAGTCTTAAGCCCCTGAGATTTTCAGTGGTTGTTAACCTCAGTATAATTTAGCTTATCTTTACTGATAGAATGGGACCAACTTAATGAAAAAAAAAAACCAGGCAATTTCTAAACCCTAAGAAACATTAACATTTATGATTCAGCTTTTCCCGGATCTGTTCCAGCGTTAGGAAACTTTGAGTTAAACAAAGTTTACAGTTAAGTGGGTTTCTTATATTCAATACCTCTTCATATTCTTTAACCTGCTTTGGATTCTCCAATTAAAGTCCACGTGACAAATGATGTTTCCAAATTTAACGGTCCATTAGTTCCCTTTTTTTCTGAATGCTTCTCCGGCACTAGTGGTCCGAGGAACACTCTTTTGGAAATGCTGAAGTAGTGCAATGCCCTTATCTTTCAAATGAGATTAAACCTCCAAACTGAGATTAATAAATCACACAACTAGAACTCAGGTCTCTTAACTCTCAGTTTTATACTTTCTGCTACACATTGCAGTGCATTACAGTAAAGGACTAAGATTATATTTTTCCTCAAGGGGTAACTATTTTCATAGAGAAATGACAATTGTAAAGATTCAAGAAAGTTAAATCTCTCAAGACCTTTGATTTGCAGTCTTTCTTAGATGAAATGTAGGACAAGGGGGAATAATTCTATTTTGTGATATGTAGTTCATGAGAGTGAATCTACATTGATAGAGGTAAAGAATCAACTTAAATGAAATTCAGGTAAATTGCGTTGACAGTTGAGCTTATATGAGATCATTTAAAAGCTAAAGGCTTCTTTCAAATACCATTCGTAAATTTGCCCTGAGTTCCTTCAAGTGTGACATAAATGCCACCTTCTCAGTGAGGCCTTCCTTGAGCTTGCTAGATGAAACGAAACATCCTCACCCCATCTGCCATCTTGGGAACTCTCTATCCTTCTCCTTGTTTTATTTTCCTCCATAAATTTACTATCTTCTGACACACTACATGTTTTCTGTATGTATTTGCTTACTGTCTGTCTCCTTCCCCGGTAGAATGTGAGCTCCTTGAGGTCAGGGGTACTTGTAATTGTTCTCTAAGATATTCCCAGCACCCACAAGTGTGCTTGGCATCTTGTAGTCATTCGGTAAATATTCGTGTAATTTGTGGATAAGTTTTTTGTTTGTTTCATAGAGCTCATATGAATTTGGGTATAATCTGACTTTCAAAGGGACACGGCCTTCCGATATTGTTCGTGAAGCATTGTACAAGGTAATATGTGACTTCAGTTTGCTAAATATAACCAAATTCTACGTATTCACAGAATATGCAATAAAAATACGACTGACTATTAAATAAAGTTTTCTGGAGCATTTTCGTGAAAGAGATGTAAAGTAGGTAAAATATTTCCAGCACCCTCCTTCCTCCTCCTACTTGCTCAAATCCCCTTATTTCTGAAAAATACTCAATTTATCTTCTTTGGAAATACTCCATTTTCTAGCACATACCAATACTCCAGTCTCTACATTTTGTCTAACTGGTCTGGCCTTTTCAAAGTCTCCTTACCGTGATCCCATAGTCTGTGCAGATGTGCTGGGTAGCATGACCTCACTCCCCCTTGGTAAACTAGTGAGGACATATTTATGAGCATGGAGTGACATCATTATCCTTAAAACTACTTCAATGGTGGAGAACATACTCTGAAGTAAAACTTCTCTTTAAACGCTTGCTCAATTCAATATTTAGGAAAGACTGGAATAGAGGAAAATGACTTCGACAGAAGAGTGGGGAAAGAACCCCTAGCTATAACCACCTTCTTTGCTTCAATCTAGTTTCTAATCAAATAGAAATTTGATTATCCTAAAGTGGCTGGACAAGAAAAGGTCCCTTTTTTAAGCCAATTCAGAAAGCCATTCTGTTTACCTTGTTTGGTTCTAATACATGTTCTGTAAACATCTCTGTGTATCCAGGGAGCCGTGTGTATACTAAACATAAACCTTGGAAACTCTAAAAGTGAAGGAAAGACTGGAGACGAGGTGCAGCCCCTGAGAATCTGTGGTTCTCCCGTGTATTCCTTCACTATGTGAGTTAACTCTTGGATATGTGGCTGAGGTGATATGTCAAAAAGTTAGGATTTCCTTTCTCTATGTCTTTTTAAGATTTTTCTCTTCTCTAGAGAACCTCTTGTCTTGAATTAGAGAAATCCTTTATTTGAATAAATTTCTGTTTCCATTATCAAAGTTGATGAATTTTAATTAATTCATTTTACTGACTGCACTCTTTAGAGAAGATCATTTCCTTTTTGAATGCAAGCAGCAACCAAAAAGATGACACATTTTGTCTTCTTTCTACACCCAAATGTAAATAATTATGATAACCTCTTGCTATGTGGGAGGCGGCTGTCTAGCATGATCATTAAATTACAGCTCTTGTATTGTGTTCTCTTTGGTTAATGTTCATCCTAATCCGATAGACTAAATTGCATGTGATGTGGAAAATTCCTATTTGTACTTACAAAATATAGTTTAGCAAATTGCTCTGTGACACCATTCATTTTATTTCATGAATAGTTGTGGTGGAAAATGAATACAATTTTTTTATTAGTTGTACTGAGTTCTTCCATGTAAAGAGAACTTTTACAAATATTAGTCTTATAAAAAAGATAACAAAGGGAAATAGTAAATATTATTTTACCCACTTCACTAGGAAGAAGTCAATATATAAAGGTTGATAACCTCCTTCAACATCTCATGTCATCCTAAGGACAGAATCAAATACAGAAATTGCCTCCTACGATTCCTTGACCCCCATTTTATCTGCTGGATCACACCTGGATCCAGCTACAACTCTTCCAAATGGCAGCTTTTTGAGCCAGGCTGGCTCTGAGACATGGAGGGTTTCTTTTAAGTCATTTCCCCCCTATTACTCAATGTCTGCTCTGTCTGTGGTTAGCCCTCCCTCCCTCTAAAGAACGCGACAGTTGTTAGTGTTGTACACAGTGCTATGTACATTCTGACAATGCTACTGATCCTGGGAACCATGATTCATATTTTATTGCCACCTTACTTGGTTACTTTTATGGCTGGTTTTATTACCTCCATCTATTTATTCAGAAGATGTCATTTTGAAAATATAAACCTAAAAATGAGAAAACAGTTGAGGAGAAAAATAGAACGTGTGCTTCTTTGAAATGAGTTTAACAAACTGCATATTTCAGAACGTTTCCACTCTTCCAGATTTATTTCTCTTAATGCCCTCCCACTCCCACCCCAAGAAATAAAGATGTAAACAGCAGCAGAGACCATCAGAGCTAAGAGGGATCTTAGAATTAACCCCGCAAACACTCACACTGTACAGATGAGCAAAGTGAGGTCTAGAGCAAGTGAGAAAGTGGTTTGCCCAAATTCACATGGCGAGTTCAGTTAGAAAGGAAACCCAGTTCTTCCTCCGCTCAACCCTTCTGTTTAGCGGTCCACTGCACATTTCTGTGTCTCTCAGAACATGCGCTCAGTTAAGTCCTGAGTGAATGATAGCCAGCCATCGCGTGTTGACTGTTTGCACTTCAGTGAACAGGGTGCCATGGGGACAGAGAAAGGGAGTTCTGAGGAAGGAAAAGATGTTTTTACCTGAAGGGAGGTTTGCTGATCTCATAGTTGTTGGGCTTGACTCCTGGAAAGCTAAAAAAAGCCAAAGGAGGTTGTGAAAATAGGAGGTGTTTGTTCTGTTTTCTTAGATGTTATTGTAAATATCTCACAGGACAAGAATCTTGATTGATAATAATCGAGTAATCAAGCTATCATGAAGGATTTATTAAATATGTAACATGTATACAACACCATATTCCAGAAAAGTGAAGTGTGCCAAGGAAAATAGTGATTAAAATGAGTGAGTTTGTTTTAGTACTTCTATTCCCCATCATGTACACAGGCTTCTTGTCTGCAAAGTGGGATAACCAACTTAGAGCATGGTTGAAAGAACCAAAGATAAAATTGAGATTATGTAAATTAAGTAATTGCCAAGCTGCGATTGCTATATAATGTTTTCCTTATTTTAAAAAATCTTTTAACTTAAAAAGAAATGCATATTTAGAAAAGTGCAAAATACGGAAGTGTCTAAGACAAAAGGGATATATATTTGAATATTATTTTATGAGCAGTTAAATTGTTCAGGCTCCTTACTTGAGTCTGGGCTACCCCTGAAGATGAATTGTCCGTGACATGAGAGCTCACAATTTTGTAAACAACTCATTTTCCCCTTAGAAACTTCAGCACTGAAATTTTCATTCCATACATATCTTATCTCCCACGTCCTACAAAACCTACTAAAAGGGATGACTACATTTTTGCTTTAGTTAAATATGATCATTTTTGTTCATGGATCTTGACTTCTTTATTCCGCGATGCTTATAAGAATTAGTAACATTGAGTCTTCAGCCTATGGGGGATTTCTACCTAAGTCAGCTGGTTACCCTCTCCCAGTCTAACAGCTAGAACATAAGCATCAAGAAAATATTGTGGAATTTTTAGTAAAATATAAAATTTTTAAATCATTCAGTTAAAAATCAGTAACATTAAAGCAAAAACAGGCTCTTATTTTTCTACTAGAAAATTGATGTTAATGTTACTTGATATTGAGTTTAAAGTGATTATCTTAAGAATGAATTCCTGTCCATTTGAATCAATTTAAGCATTTCAAACTAGATGAAAATCAAATATTTTTCATTTTGAGTTTTTAAAAATGAATATTTTACTTAGTTTTTAAATTCAATATAAAATCTTTTATATTTTCAATTTCTCTTCAGACATTTTCTTTTGTTCTCCAGGAGGTCCCATTCACCAGATCACAAGTGTTGTATATATATACACACACACTTATATATGTTTATATACACACACATATGTATTGTATATACTGTATGTATGTTCAGTATTTTATATTGAATTTTTAAAGATAAGTTAATTTTATATATTACATATATATGTATGTAATACATAATACACATTTATACACACGCACATATAGGGAGAGAGAAGACCCTCACAGGACAATCTCAGAAGCTACAGAACTGGTTCACAGAACACAGCATCCAACGTTCCCAGATAAAATGTAAGTGAAGTCAGTTTTCAAGCTGTAATTGCTACATAATCCAATTTTATTATTACAAAAAATATTCATTAAAAACTAATGTATATTATATACCTAACTTTTGCTTTTTGTTTGTTCAATATTTGGAGTTTTTTAAATGACTTTATTTGCTTATTCCATTTCATTTAATTCAACAATAGGTATCTGCGCTCCACTACCTAGGGCAATCTTCTATATATCTTACAACAGACAAACTCACAACACTGAAAAAAGCATGTCTGTTTTTATCAATCTATTCTACACATACACACACCCTCAAACATACACTCACATGCAGTTTGTTTAGCTTATTTCTTCCATATTTTTTGCTGCTTTGTGTCTTTAGGTCTATCGTAGCTCTGGTTTGTTTGAAGATTTGCTCTCTTCGGACTCTCCGATGATTCTGGATCCCACAGCCCCCAGTGCCATGCTCTTTTCTTTCAGAATAGTTCACTGAACTGTGTAGCTGTGTGGGAATTGATTGGGAGTGCATCTGTAGCTTGGCACTCAGCGGGGAAGTACTGCCAACCAAGTCATCAATATGTGCTCCCACACAGCTGGCTCCTCTTAAGTCCACTCTAAGAGTCTATCAGAAACATCAGAGTGAGAATGAGCGCTCAGGAGTTGGGACTCTGCCTCCCTGTAGTTTTTCCTTTTCCTCTGATGGTACTGGAGCAAGTCCCACAGAAAATAAATCTGAGATATAAGCAAAAAGACTAGAAAAATTAAACCATGCCCTATCATCACCAGTGGAAGTGCCTATAAAAATTTGGAGCAATTATTCCGTTAATGACTTCACTGAGGGTAAGCCCCTCAGAAACCCTGGTCACGGGATCACAATGGCTGCAGCTGCGTGAAGCTGGATGGTTTCAACTTTCAGGCAACTCTTTGAACATAGTATTTTTATTTCAGTTTATATCTCCTGAGTTTCAATATGAATAAACTCTAAGACTCAAAGCAAATCTCAGCACACTGAGCATTAGTAACGGTTCCATCTGAAACCAGAAATCACCCGTAATGTGTGCAGAAGGTGACCCAGGTTCATGGAGAGACATTCAGACCTCTACAAGCCATATAATGAAACTGAGCTGGATATTGAATGGTATATTTTAGAAAAAGTGGTGAGTTTCGTCTGGTTTTGGGTTTCACTTCCATTGTTGTACACAATGTAACTATGACTGTGGATTTTATTAAGGGAATATGTTTGCTCTTCACCAATTTTGATTATATCCACCTTAGCATCAAACTTAAGGGAATAGAAAGCCATCATGTCAAAAATCTTGGGAATAAAGTCAGCATATGTGTTAAGAAGAAAAAGCAGCCTAGTGGCCTTTACAGCAAATAAATTCTCTGGTGAAATAATGCACAAAAGTTGAGAAAGAGTCATGTAGCCTGGGTTTGTACTTCTGCACATGAAATATTAGAAATCGCGAACAGAAATTCAGCCCTGTTTCCCCACAATCTGAGTTCCTATTTATTTAGATACATGAAGAAACAAGAAGATGAAAGGTCAAATTATGAGCTTCTTACTGGGAATCCACTCATAGTATTATAAAAATTAATTTTGAAGGACAAAACAAAGTTTTACTACTCAAATTTATTTCCCTGGGCTTTGTATTGTGGTGGTTGTTTTATTGTTGTTGATGTCGCTGGTTTCCGAAGTCCATATTGGAAGCCCAGACACTTACCCAAGAGTCTTTCAAAAGTCACTGTTTTTCCAGGGCTCTATAGGAGCAGATTTTATGAATCTTATTTTGCTCTAAGTCTCTGAATATTCTAAGTTTCTCCAGTTCTATCAGCTAAAAGATACTTAGTTTAGCAGATTACTACTATGACTGGTCAGTTTAGCTATATGCAATAAGGGCAATTATTAAAATATGAAATGAATATTTATCTCATTTAAAATTTGAAATACTTTTAAAAGAAAAATTCTTGAATCCAACATTTGTATTCAAAACC